GAGAAAAAAAAAACCAGGATAGATGTTTGGGATGGAGATAGCAAAAGTAAATCATTAATAACAAATGATGAAATTATATTATTTTATGTTGGAGTTAAAAAAAAAATATCATCGATAATAAAGGATGAAAAAAAAAATTTTGTTAACTTAAAGGACAAAAAAAAAACATTAAACAAAAAAAACAAAACAAATAATAGCTTAGATACTATAAATTAACTGGTTTAACTTGCGACCCAACTTACAAATCTATTTGGGTTCAGTAATTTCTTTATTAATTTTTGTAACCCAAATATAAAATAGCAAAAGAAAAAAAAATTAAAAAAAAACCTAGACAAAAAAAAAAAGGTCATCAATAATAAAGGATGAAAAAAAAAAATTTGTTAACTTGAGAGACAAAAACAAATATTAAACAAAAAAAGCAAAACAAATAATAGCTTAGATGCTATAAATTAACTGGTTTAACTTGCGACCCAACTTACAAATCTATTTGAGTTCAGTAATTTCTTTATTAATTTTTGTAATTCAAATATAAAATAGCAAAAAAAAAATTAAAAAAAAAAAACTAGACATGTAGGCCTAATGGCCCAACTTGCCCAAGTATTAAAAGAAAAACAGTCCAATCCATTATCAAGGCCTATCTGTACCTTTTTTTATTTCTTAAGATGATAAACAACATGCCATGTGTTTTATTATTTTTAAGCAAAGATAGAAAACTATGTGTTATATGTGTTATATGCAACAACAAATGATGTCTCTTTTAGGTTCCATTGAATCTAACAACCAAAGGTCACTCAAAAAATATTTCTCAAGATGTTTTTGCTAAAAAAAATATTTTTAATTTATTTTTATCCAAAACACGTAAAAAATACTCAAAATACCTTGATAAACCTATTTGTAATCTTAAAAACCTAAAAATAACTTAAAAAATAAAAAAAATCCAAACACAAAAATATTAACGTGGATAGATCTACCTTTTAAGGCAAGGAGAAAGAAAGAAAATATCTAGATGAAACTCCCTCCATTAAATAAAACTCATTTACATCAATGTTGATCATTTTCTAAATTGTGCTAACAAAATATTCAAAGAAATTTTTTTAAAAATTAACTATTCTAATTCATAATTATTCATAGAGTGTACAGTGCAGATGCTACCACGAATCCACTAAATGGCTTAGTTTTTGTTAATATGCACATTAACTTTCGCATTTTAGCATACAAACATTTCTTTTAGTTTTTTTTTTTTAATTAATATATCTCGGATTGATATATATATATATACAGTCTCCTTGTACAAACATTTCTTTTAGTTTTTTTTTTTAATTAATATTTCTCGGATTGATATATACAGTCTCGTTCAGTTGCTATTCCTTGCATTGTTTTCTTGCCTCCTCCTCCTCCGCAAGCATATACCATTTGCAGAGAGATGCTTATCATAGTTTATTTCCGGATCTTGTGCATGAGAAATAGTAAAGCCGTGGGAGAATGTTCAATGCAAATGCGACAGTGAATTCACCTCATGACTTAGTTTTTGTTAATTAATTAATATAGACATTAGTTATCGCATAGAATCCAACATTTATTTTAGTTTTTTTGTACATATCTTTTTTCTTTCCGTCAAGGTCTCCGTTCCGTGCACCTATTGGCGGGAACAAAACACGGCAGCTGCAGCGGCAGTAATAATAATAAGAATAAACAATATTCTAACCAACTTTGAATGCTTTTAATAAAACTATTAATATTACTTAATAATTATTATTGTATGCCAAGCTTGTATTCTCTTTCCACTACTAGTATAAATAGAGAATCGACTAGGATGCAGAGCAGAGCTGACCTGACCTGACAGTTTTCTCTATCACTTTTTTAAGTTTTCTGGGTATGCTCTTAATTTCTCTACGAACCCTTTCTATTATTGTACACATCAATTTCTCTTATCTTTCCGTTTATTTTGGGTTTTGTTATAACTTTTTTTTCCTTCATGTTTTTGGTTTTGCTGGTTGGCATTGCCATTTAATGTCTAATCCTCTAAACTCGACAATGGTGATTTCTCTTTTATCGCAGTGAATTTGAATGGATTCTAGAAATGGTTCAGTATCAGAAACTCCATTGGATGCTGAAATCGGATCATTTTTTGATTCAGCTCCTCCTCTAAAAGACTGTGATGGGATTGCCAAGAAATTGAAGGATTTCATTGAATTCAATTCTCCGCCACCAGGCAAGAAACTAACTCATTTATTGGTGTTTAATCAGGTGTTGGCTGTTTTGATAAGTAAGTAAATGCAGGAAAAGGGAGTCCTGCGGGGGTTGTGTGTGTGACATCTGGTGGCACCACAGTTCCGTTGGAGCAATGTTGCGTGCGTTACATTGATAATTTCAGTTCAGGCCATAGAGGAGCTACATCTACTGAGTAATCAACTTTGGAACTTGTAAAATAGAGAAACCCTCTCCTAGACTGTACTCAATTGAGTGTGTTTTGAACGATTTTCTTGCAGATATTTTATCAAGGCTGGATATGCTGTTATATTTTTATATAGGAGGTAAATTTCTCTGTCTTGATATAGTATTAGTTATATCTTTGTTGCTCCTTTCTGTTGCAACTAATTGTCGTCGGGAAGTGATTCGAAGGAGAAAAGAAAAGAAAATATCAAAAACATGTTTTATTTTGGATAGTATACTGCTTTCTTTTGCAGGGGAACCTTCCAGCCATATTGCCGATCTCTTCCTGAGGATTCATTACTTGAATGTTTTGAGTGTTCTGATGACTCTGCTATTCAAGGTTTTTCTTCTTCTTCTTTTCTGCATATAAATTTAACCTGCTGATGTAAATCCTTCAGTTTGATGGATTGGACTTGATCATAAATGATTCTTCTATGGCATGACTTAAGTGTGCGGCCTAATATGTTACGATAGGTTGGCATTCTTTCCACTTACAAAGCTTGTTTTGGTTTGGGTAATTTGTCCAACATCTGTGGTTAGGAGTTTTGTGGTAAATTCTTCACAAATTATCGTGAACCAAATTTTTTCTCCTGGAAGATTAGCTATAATCAGTGATAACTTGTTGATTCTGTCATGAATCAAATTGTATACACAATTGAGGGTTCCAATTATGTAACTATTTTCTTTATATTTCAGTGCGTCAACCATATACGGAAGCAGTGAAGAGAGCCATTAGTGATCATCATGCTGTATGAACTATTGATAACTTACATCCAGTGTTCTGAAATTTCACTCAATTGACCCTGTTTTTCATGTAGTTTGACGGAAAAATTTTAGCTTGCCATTACAATGAACCAATTCAGGCTTTCATGTTTGTTGCAGGCTGTGGCTGGAGGTCACCTGTTAAAAATTCCATTTACAACCATATTTGAGTATCTTCAGGTTAGTTTCAGTCAGCTCTTAAATTTCTTTCCAGATTCCAAACCAATGTGCTAATTTTCATAATAATTTCCTATGATTTCTTTTGTCCATGTGAAAAATCCATTTGTTTATTCATATTGGAAATCGTATTTTCTGTTCTTTCATATACTTTTGTGTGCACTGCATGCTTTTCATGAATGTTGCCTGTTCAGGGAGTATAGCTATAAGTGTGATGCTAGTAAGTTGAACAACCTGGCAGAAATTCAGTCTTTCCTAACAATTTCCATATCAGGCCATGGATTCTTCATTAGTCATTCAGTGTTTTGGATGTTAGTTTATGAATTTCAGTAATTAATGTTCTTTTTTTCCCCTTACAAGTTTAGTTATCTGTATTCTTTCTGTCCGAGCTGCATTTTTTCCCCCGCGCACACAGATATGTGCAACACTTTTCCACTTTCATGTGCTGAATCAATGTCTTGCATGATTGGCAGATATTACGAAGCACAGCAATGGCAATGAGGGATCTTGGATCACATGCTGTGTATTATCTTGCTGCTGCCGTGTCTGACTTTTATGTTCCATGGAAGAGCATGGTAATGCTTGAATAAATTTAAGACTTGTCATGCTCTCTTGATTAGTTCTGACAACATATAGTCCCAGGATTTCATCTAATAGCAACTAATTGTTCCTGGGATCTTGATACATAATTGATTTGGAAGATGAAATGCCCGTGTATGTTTTCGGTTGTAATTAGCACGATTATATCTGCAGGCAGAGCACAAGATCCAGTCAGCATCTGGCCCTCTGGACATGCGACTGGTGCAGGTCCCAAAAATGCTCTCAGCGCTGAAGAAAGCATGGGCCCCCATGGCCTTCTGCATATCATTCAAGGTTAGATGATGTGCCACAGTTCTTGATGTCTTTTTGGGGATTCAAAGATGTTAGAGCATATCGCTGAAAAAGGTTTATTAGATGACGAGCTGCAGTTGGAACTGCCACTGCGCAATATTTAAACAGAAACCTAATTTCTGGTTCTGTGTTTTTGCTTATTCTCAGTTTACTAAAATACATATACAGGGAAGATAAGTAGGAGTGTGGTCCCTCGTTATTTCCTGTGTCTTAACGGAAGACTGATGAGATGTTTGTCTCTCTGGACAATCAGATAGTACCTTCATAGTAGAGAACTTCATGTTAGTAGTTTTTGAATTTGAAAAGAGATGTTGTATGATTCTGTTGAAAGACTTTTGCTGGTTGTGGCTTCTCCTTTCCCCTACCTTGAAAGGAAAAGGTGATCACAACTTGACATGTTGCTTTTTATTATCATTAAGAAAAGCTTCAACCTGCGATTTATTTTCTAGTTAGCCCTGATTTTTATCCCCATTGGATTCAACAGCTTGAGACAGATTCGAAGATTCTTTTGGAGAAAGCTGAAATGGCTCTTAGAAAGTACAGGATGCATATGGTTGTTGCAAATGAACTTTCGACCCGCAAAGAGGAAGTAACAGTCGTCACTGGCAATGAAAAGATTCTTGTATGCTGCGACAAGACTCGGTCTGATTCTGATGTGGAAGAACCGCTCATCGAACTAATTGTGGGCAGGCATTCAGCTTATGTTAAGGATTCTGATTTGTGACTTTTCAGGTAGGCAACAGATACACAACACACGTTTCTCACTCGTTTTGAGGTTTTACATGCTAAAAGACTTCACCATGGTGGCATTGTGAAAGTACCTGTCTTTCTTTCTTTCATTTGAATTCTGTTCAAGTTAATCAACAGCAGATGTTGATGTGAAAAGGGACTCAAAATAATTCTGTATGATGTAACCAAACCTTGCCTGAAAGGAATTAAGATTGAAAGGAATAAAGATATATGCTAAAACCACTGTAGTAATATTAAGACTTGTATCATTTATTTATCTTGAGTTTAATTATTTTGGCTAATTTAATAAATAAGTAAAATTAGGGATCTATTCATAATACTAGGATAACCCAATTAAAAGTTGATCAAACAATTTAATGTTGAAGGGCAAGATAACCTGAATTATTTTTAAAATCAATAAAAAATCCTATCCAAAGTAAATAAAAAATAAATAAAAAAGCTTAATATCTAATTAAATGAATAATAAAGGATGAAACTAAAAAAACAAACTTAAAAAAAATAAGCAAGCAAACTCAAGCAAAGTGCAACTCATGAAATATTATTTTTAGGCTCAATCAAGAAACTAAATTCTCACTTTAATATTAAATGATGAAAAAGAAAGAAATTGTCAATTTAAAAATTTTATCAAAATAAAAAAATAGTAGTCAAAAGATTGAGGATAAAATCTAGAAAAATATAAAATTGAAGAATGATGAAATTGTAAAAAAAAAATCTTCTAAATTAAAATAAATAACAATCAAAATAATAGGGATCATATCTTTCAGGAAAAAAAATTAATGGAGGATGAAATTGAAAAGAAATTCTATAAATCATCTTAAATTAAAAAAATATATATAATGAAAGAAAAGGGAAAAAATTTAAAGGGAAAAAAACATTAGAGGTTTTCTTTGAAATTTTGAAAGGTTAGACATGAATATCAAGGAAGTGAGAAGAAGAAGGAAAAAAGAGTTCGATGTTGCTAAATAGATTGTCCATTGACCACACGCGTCACTTAGGGATGAAAAAGTCATTTATACAATTCAAACGTTGCCTCAAAAGCCAATGTTCGGCCATTGACCTTCCCACACACGTTACTCGAGTAATATGATAACAATCCATGCCCCAACTCATGCAATGCTTGCAACAACTATAATCCATGCCCCAACTCATGCAATGCTTGTAACAACTATATTTTTTTAATAATATTTATATTTATTCCATTACTAAAGTTTCTTTCAATAAAATTAATTACTATAAAAAACATAATAAAAATGCAAACAAGCTCCTGGATGCTAGTCAAAGGATTTTTATGTGTATAGATAATTTAATTATTTTATTATGCTTGAAAAGGTAAAATACTGGAAAAATTCCTTGGAGACTAATTTTAAAAATTTTTACTTTTAAAATTAATTTAGTCATTTAAATATACTCTAAAAATAGTAAATGATCAATCTTTCCCAAATCAATTAAATAATGACTAATGACTCATGTGAAAAAAACAATATTACCCCCTCAACAAGGCCATTAATTTTTGTTAATGGGGAAAAAAACCAAAATATTGTTTCAATCCATAATATTTTATTTCTTATTCTAAAGTGTTTATCTAATCTTCATTAGGTTTTTCTTAATTAGTATGATTTAGGCAAGTTAGTTGATACCGTAGGAAAAACATAATATAATTTAACACAAGTCTTTTACTTAAATATTAAAAGCATTAAACTAAATTCAATTATTTAAAACAAACTAAAAGAGCTTAGTAATGATTATGGTTTGTGAGGTATTCACTCAGGATTATAATAATGTTTTATTTTGTTTTTGTTGTGGTAATTTTTTTGGTTATTAATTTTTTTTCTTTTTCATTTCATTATTTGATGTTGTATGTATTAGGATTTTGGTTGTTGATTTGTTTTGATTTTTTTTTATCAATTTTTTTTCCTTTTCAATTTCATTCTTCGACATTTTGTTTATTAGGATTTGGGGTTGTTATTTTGTTTTTCTTTTATAGTTACCATAATCTTGGAAAAACATCGTAATGGCAAGTTCATGTTGGATTTCACAAAAAAAATAATTGATTTTTTCATTTGCAAGAGATTGAATAGTGGACCAAAATTGAAACAAGAAACAAATGGCATGCCTTCAAAAAACAATTGGTGTCAACTTTAGTCCTTTTTTGTTTTTTGGCTTTCAATCAACGATTTTTTTCTTCTTAATTTGATTGGCAAAGACATGATGGAGAGGGATTTAAGTGCAAAATTAAAAACTTAATTGTACCTCTAAAGGATCTAAGATTAAAAGACAATGCAGATTAAAGGTTAACTTAAATTAATATCATATGAATTTGCAAAAAAAAAAATAGTTTGAAGACTTAATTAGATTTTTAATAGATTAATTTGATTTAATCACATGTCTAATTAAAGGTTTAATTAAGTTTAATAATTAATTTTAAAAAAATAAAAGAATTAATTAAATGCAAGGACTTAATTAGACTTTTAATTAGTCAAATTAATTTTATTAAGGCTAATTTAATTGCATGTCTTAATTTTATTAAGGATTTTTAATTGGTGAAAAATTAAGTTTGGAAGCCTAATTTAGGCTTAATTGAGAATATTAGAATTCTAGATGACTAAATTTAGTTTTTACAAATTCAATACGATGAAATCAGATGAAAAATTACAAGAAAATTAAAGTTTATATGTTAATTAAAGGGTAAATTAAAGAAATTTAAAACCAATAACCTCACTATAAAAGATGTGCAAGTTCACAAATCAAATTCGATTGAAAATAGAAATGAAATTGAAGAAATTAGAAGTTTAAAGGTCAATTAAAAATAAAATTTAAAATATCTAAGATCAAGAACCAATTTGAAAAAGAAATTAGAAGTTTGAAGGTCAATTAAAAATATCTAAGATCAAGAACCAATTTGAGAAACACGC